TTAGAAAACTTGTATACCACATCTACGGACGTCAGATTGTAGATCAGAAAACTTGTATACCACATCTACGGACGTCAGATTGACCATTAGAAAACTTGTATACCACATCTACGGACGTCAGATTGTAGATCAGAAAACTTGTATACCACATCTACGGACGTCAGATTGACCATTAGAAAACTTGTATACCACATCTACGGACGTCAGATTGTAGATCAGAAAACTTGTATACCACATCTACGGACGTCAGATTGACCATTAGAAAACTTGTATACCACATCTACGGACGTCAGATTGTAGATCAGAAAACTTGTATACCACATCTACGGACGTCAGATTGACCATTAGAAAACTTGTATACCACATCTACGGACGTCAGATTGTAGATCAGAAAACTTGTATACCACATCTACAGACATCAGATTGACCATTAGAAAACTTGTATACCACATCTACGGACGTCAGATTGTAGATCAGAAAACTTGTATACCACATCTACAGACATCAGATTGACCATTAGAAAACTTGTATACCACATCTACAGACATCAGATTGTAGATCAGAAAACTTGTATACCACATCTACAGACGTCAGATTGACCATTAGAAAACTTGTATACCACATCTACAGACATCAGATTGTAGATCAGAAAACTTGTATACCACATCTACGGACGTCAGATTGACCACAAGAAAACTTGTATACCACATCTACGGACGTCAGATTGACCATTAGAAAACTTGTATACCACATCTACAGACATCAGATTGACCATTAGAAAACTTGTATACCACATCTACGGACATCAGATTGACCATTAGAAAACTTGTATACCACATCTACAGACATCAGATTGTAGATCAGAAAACTTGTATACCACATCTACAGACATCAGATTGTAGATCAGAAAACTTGTATACCACATCTACGGACGTCAGATTGACCATTAGAAAACTTGTATACCACATCTACAGATTTTTGTCATAGTCTATATACAGGTAGGATTATTTCAATGTCAGATTGAGACAGTATTTTAGCTACATGGCTTGTAACATTTGTAGAACGTCGATTGCTTTGTACTGACTGCACAATTTCTTGTATCCCGCAGCGAGATATCGAAACGGGATTTCCGCGGATTAAATGCGGTGTGTTTGTTTAAGCATATGATCGGGGCTCTTCCCGTCCCTACCACTGTATGAAAGACTGTGTACTGTTACGTCATTTCACTTGTTTATTTATAACCCCGCTGCGCCACCTACAGTCTTTTCATATGCAAATTAGGCGCTAGCGTATCTCCGTGTAACGTACCTCGTGCTTTCAATAACAAAATTTTAACAAGGTCTTGTTCAGTTCCTGCTGAGGTCACCAACTATTGGGGCACAGGCAGCCCCTGAAGTCACTTTAGGTTGTGTCATTGGTACACAGTTTCCCTACATGGTTGTCTGCAGTCACTTGAGGTTGTGTCATTGGTAACAAGGAACTGGTTGGTTGAAGTTACAGACATACCATTAAAGTAGGAGATTGTGACTAGAGGCCGGGAGAAAGTAGGACTCGGTGATTCAAAATTTGTCACATACAATCATTGGGATATTTCCTTCTCCACCGATGAACCGCGCCATTTTGTTTCTAAAATTAGCACAAGAGAATCACCTACATTACGTCATACCTATATCTACGCGAAATTCTTATCTTTTAATTACTCAGATTTAAATTCAATATTGACTTTTTCGATTTGCTGTGGAAAGAAAAAATTGACAAAACACTTCATACTGAATTACTGGGGTGTTGGCCCTATACCATACCTAGACGACAGCCTACTGAATTCAGTATCATTACCATAAACCATGAACTGAAACATTTGATTGCAAATATATATTAAAAATTTTATCCATGCCTTATATTACATAAAGCATAACACGAAGACTAAAAAATTATAGAAGATCTATTTTTAACGATGCTGATAATATTTTTAAAAATTGTGTGACAATGTTGCAAGCATTAGCAGTGTTTGTTAAGTTGGAAGTGACCAAATTGTTGAACCCGTGTGTGTGAGATGTTCGTTGATTAGTTTACCCAGTGGTATAGGTTAGGCTTTAACGTAAAACATATGAATCGGGTCCTCGTGAAATACACGTAAAACATTTGGTTTTTTAGTCTGTAAAGTTTACCTTGTGGGGTAAATAATTAAATTAGAGCTCCACATGTAAAAATAGGAATCTGGTCAATAAGTTGGGCATGTGAAACATTTTGTTTTTAGTGTAGAAAGGTGCCCACCTTGAAGAGATCAACCTTAATTGATGATGCAGCTTTACGTAATTAATCGATTGCTGTGTCAATTACCCCAGGCCTGTTAATTAAATCAGGTCGTGTGAGATAGTATGTATAGGCTACCTGAGTAAGTTAAATCATTGTCGTTTAATTTTTAAGTTGACCTCACAACTTTCTAGTGACGTCAAGATGCCGGGTTGGTCTTCGTATTAGAGCCTAGAGGAGGCATAGGGTGGTTTGGAAATGTCCCATCGGCCTCTACATCACTGACCTAATACTTCTACCTCTGCTGAATTGTTAACTAGTATATATACTACAAGTAATACAAAATATTTAAAAAACAACATCCAAACTTTGAGATGTGTGGGACAGAGAAATAAGTCTTGTATGTAGTTGTCTGTCTTTGGCTAGACTAGGTCGCGTCTGCTTCACCTGCTACATAATAGAACAACGATACAATACGAAATGTGTTCGATTAAAAGGAACTTAAAACTATCAAAACATGATCAATAACATAATAGAACAACGATACAATACGAAATGTGTTCGATTAAAAGGAACTTAAAACTATCAAAACATGATCAATAACATAATAGAACAACGACACAATACGAAATGTGTTCGATTAAAAGGAACTTAAAACTATCAAAACATGATCAATAACATAATAGAACAACGACACAATACGAAATGTGTTCGATTAAAAGGAACTTAAAACTATCAAAACATGATCAATAACATAATAGAACAACGACACAATACGAAATGTGTTCGATTAAAAGGAACTTAAAACTATCAAAACATGATCAATAACATAATAGAACAACGACACAATACGAAATGTGTTCGATTAAAAGGAACTTAAAACTATCAAAACATGATCAATAACATAATAGAACAACGACACAATACGAAATGTGTTCGATTAAAAGGAACTTAAAACTATCAAAACATGATCAATAACATAATAGAACAACGACACAATACGAAATGTGTTCGATTAAAAGGAACTTAAAACTATCAAAACATGATCAATAACATAATAGAACAACGACACAATACGAAATGTGTTGGATTTAAAATAACCCAAACATATCAACACATGATCAATAACATGTTGACGGCAAGTGAAATAGCTTGGGAAAATTTGTTTGTCTGACCTCAATCTCTTTGTTGTCAGCTGCTATCTTACATTGTGGTGCATTGTTGACAAGTTTAGGAATTATCCCATGTAGAAATGGTGCATTGTTGACAAGTTTTAGGGGTTATCCCATGTTGAAATGGTGCGTTGTTGACAATTTGTAGGAATTATCCCATGTAGAAATGATACATTGTTGACAAGTTTTAGGGGTTATCCCATGTAGAAATGGTGCGTTGTTGACAATTTGTAGGAATTATCCCATGTAGAAATGGTGCATTGTTGACAAGTTTTAGGGGTTATCCCATGTTGAAATGGTGCGTTGTTGACAATTTGTAGGAATTATCCCATGTAGAAATGATACATTGTTGACAAGTTTTAGGGGTTATCCCATGTAGAAATGGTGCGTTGTTGACAATTTGTAGGAATTATCCCATGTAGAAATGATACATTGTTGACAAGTTTTAGGGGTTATCCCATGTAGAAATGGTGCTTTGTTAAAAAGTTTATGAATTATCCCATGTAAAAATGGTGAGTTGTTGACAAGTTTAGGAATTATCCCATGTAGAAATGGTACATTGTTGGCAATTTGTAGGAATTATCCCATGTTGAAATGGTGCGTTGTTTACAAGTTTAGGAATTATCCCATGTAGAAATGATACACCGTTGACAAGTTTTAGGAATTATCCTATGTAGAGGAAGGAAATTGTTGACTGTTTTAGGAGATATCCGATGTTGAGGTAGGACATTGTTTACTATTTTAGTCACGTGATGTATGGATCTGATAAGAAGACCTCGTCAAGTAAGACCGTTTACCTGTGTGTGATTATCTTTTAAGCCGGGCCTCTGTTGACGCCCGCCTTGTAGCTGAGTCCAGTGTTAAATTGTTATAATTTAATCTATAATCACGAGCTGTTGTATTGGGACGGGGGACATGGTAGGGGTGTTGTTGTTGTTGAGACAATGATGAGTAATCTGATGATAGGTGTGTGCGATCGTCACCAACAAATAACTGTTGGGATCAGAAGCTTGTTCGTATTGTCATAACTATGGCAATCTTACTCACAACCGCTGCTTTTTTTTTCTACCTTGTACAGTCGTTCAAACTCCACATCGCAACATGAACATCACCTGAGTTGTTATAATGTCCGAACAAGTACTAAAGCAATACATTACACCATCAAAGATACACACACTTACCCCCCCCCCCCCCATGAATAATGTTTGAACAGGTACTAAAGTAATACAGTACACCATCAAATATACACATACTTACCCCCTACCCCCCCCCCCCTAAATAATGTCAGAACAAGTACCCTAGCAATAAACAGTATACAATCAGACATACACCCCTTCCGGTAAAATAATGTCTGAAAGAAACACTTGATATACTGGTCGTAGGATTTCCTCGTGTTGGCCAACCCATCACCATGGTTGGATGTCATGTATACCGGGTTGTCGGGTTGTTCGCTGCCACAGTTGTAGGTTGGTGATGGTGTATGTTGCCATATGTCAAGCATTCTTCTAAGACGTATTTATTTTTAAAAATGTGGTAATTTGATTTTGTGGTCAAAAGTTTACATTTTACTTTCAGCAACTTCGACTCGCAGAACAACGACAGGGGCGGCTACAACGTGGGGTCACTGTACTACTATCAAGGTTCTACGATCTCGGTGGAATGGTAGGTCTACTTGATCGTTTTTTGTAGGTCTACTTGGGGGGTTTATTGTAGGTCTACTTGATCGTTTTTTGTAGGTCTAATTGATGGTTTTATTGTAGGTCTAATTGATGGTTTTTTGTAAGTCTACTTGATGGTTTTTTGTAGGTCTACTTGATGGTTTTTTGTAGGTCTACTTGATCGTTTTTTGTAGGTCTACTTGATGGTTTTATTGTAGGTCTAATTGATGGTTTTATTGTATGTCTAATTGATGGTTTTATTGTAGGTCTAATTGATGGTTTTATTGTAGGTCTAATTGATGGTTTTATTGTAGGTCTACTTGATCGTTTTTTGTAGGTCTAATTGATGGTTTTATTGTGGGTCTACTTAATGGTTTTAGTGTTGGTCTAATTGATGGTTTTATTGTAGGTCTAATTGATGGTATTATTGTAGGTCTAATTGATGGTTTTATTGTAGGTCTAATTGATGGTATTGTAGGTCTAATTGATGGTTTTATTGTAGATCGAATTGATGGTCTAATTGATGGTTTTATTGTAGATCGAATTGATGGTTTTTTGTAGGTCTATTGTCTAATTGCTGGTTTTATTGTAGGTCTAACTGAGGGTTTTATTGTAGGTCTAATTGATGGTTTTATTGTAGGTCTGATTGATGGTTTTATTGTAGGTCTAATTGATGGTCTTATTGTAGGTCTAATTGATGGTTTTATTGTAGGTCTTAAAAGTAAAAAAAACTTTCACTTTCAACCTGACGGTCTATGGGGCAAGTGAAGTAGAGTTCACTTGTTTCTGTGACCTCGGCATATGAAGAGATAGTGTGGTCAGCACTATGCCCAGCCGCCTTTACTTTCCCTAACGTGAGTTAGGTACCCATTAGAGTTGGGTGGACTCAGGGACGGTCTACTGACTTGAACCCGGATTCGAACTCGAGACTAACGGGTTAGCAGTCCAGCTCTCTACCACTAGACCACTCCGTCCCATTGATGGTTTTATTGTACGTCTAATGTTTGGTATTATTGTTGGTCTAATTGATGGTGTTATTCTTACTCAGTCATTCTATTTTAGGTGGAAATGTCCAGAATTTTTTTTTTTTTAAATAATGGATGGCTAAGAGCATTAAGTTCACATAATAAATTATAGTCTATCATGAGTAACTGAACAACTAGCTCTATTGTACAATGTTGCGCTCGTTATTTTGGGATGCTACTCTTTAAATAAATGACACATTGTATTAACAGATGTTTCTTGTTCCACCTCTAGGACCAATCAGCATTCGTGTAACAACCCGAACAACCACTGTGAGCTGATCTTACAATACATGTGTGCTGATACTGTTCGGGACGGCGCCACCACGCAGTGAGTCACATTTCAGCCACTTGTTGGCCAGATTTTTGCCACTTGTCGGCCAAACTTTAGACACGTGTTTGTCTTAACCAGCTGTTTAATTGGCTCGCTGGAGAACTGTGGTTGTGTAACGTTTGAGTGGTCATCTGACGCCTCACAGCCGAACATAGACTGTAGACAACTTGACATTAGTCTATGACCTCTTTAAATCACCTCAGTAGCACACTAACATAGACTGTAGACAACTTGACATTAGTCTATGACCTCTTTAAATCACCTCAGTAGCACACTAACATAAACTGTAGACAACTTGAAAATGACTTTGAGAGGTTAAGCCTTCCTAAAACGATCTAAAAAAAAATTAACATATTTGTAATTTAAAGAAAATTTTTATAAAGCATTACGTTCTTAATATCTCTTTATGCTGTGGTAGTTTAGCAGGTTGGGTGGAGTTTTTTGACGTCATTTTGGTCTGTCTTATTTTTGGTGACGTCAACCGCCATGGTCCTAGGGCTGTCTCCAGAGTTTCTTCCAGGCATCTCTTCCCCCCCCCCCGAAAAAAATTCTACCGCCCCCCCCCCCCCCCGAAAATTTCAAGTGCCCCCCCCCCCCCCCCCCCCCCCCCCGGAGAAAAAGTCTGGCAGAAACTCTGGCTGTCTCTCCACCATGGCCCTACTGAACATTTCAACCAGAACTATAATCCATGTATTTTAGGACAATGTCGGGTCGGAACATGCTAAAGTCCTTTGAC